AAATCGCTGTGAGATATAATAACCAATATATAACCAAAAATTTTTTTTCTATAGGAGTGGTTTCTATTACAACATTTATCCTTCGCCTAAGCTTATGAAAAGTGATGTTACGTTATTTTGCCTCATAGGTGACGATATATAGTGTTTTTTACAAAAGCTTTGAACAACGTTCGGCTGCGCTCGGAATTAGAATTTCAACTTTCAACTACTTCTGTGTTTCTAGTATCCTAAACGTTGTGTTGAAAAATGTGAGAAATGCCAAATTTTGGCTGACGATTTGCAGTTTGTGTGCACATTTGGCAGCCTACGAAAATACCGGCTTATATGTGCTATACATGTATACTAGGTTTGGATTTAGTCTTATTTCTGCGAAGCTATGCTTTTATGTGTGCATATGCAGCTCGCATATATACAGTAAGCTTTGTAGGTCATAAAAATCCTAGAAAAAGCAAATCGGCTTAAATTGTAAGCTTTGTCTATAGTGAACGCTATTGGAGAAATGCCCGCAAAGTGGCGCCCACGGGAATTTCAGAGAATGAAAACGCGGCACAGTGGTTATGTGTTGTTGGCATTGTAGTCTAAAGTTGAAATAGTGCAGGAAAACATAAAATAAATTAATTGTAATTGCTTACAATTTTCCGTAGTGACAATGAATGGCAATTCTAAATCTATAGTCGTAAGGCACACTTTAGGTTTTGCTAAATTTTAGAAAAGAAATGTTGATATTGTTTTTCGTGCTTATTTCTTTAGTTATAAGTAATAAAGTATTATAAAAACCTATTTTATTATCTGCAACTGGGTTTCTCAAGCACAAAATTAAATTAATGTGACATTAAAAGGATTCATGGAAGCATCTCTCATCGAAGGAAGTTTTTAATAATTACTCCGCTGTTATCAACAAATTAGCTCTTTGACAAGCTAAATTATCGTATTTTTGGATTTTGTAAATATCGTGGCCAAAAACTAGTAAGATACGAGTATTTAAATTTCGTGCGAAGTCCCCTTTGTCGTTGGAATATTTTTTTCTGGGTTGGAATAAATGTGAGTCACACCTGTGTCAAATGATGAGTGGAATTATTCAACATAGAAGTTCCATTAAAGTTTGTGTGCCGAATCAAATTTATGGTGCCGAAATGATCCAGAATGTTGGAAAATGGCTTCGGTGATAATTTTTTGGTGCGAGCAAGTGTTTTTAATTGGTAAAAATTATTCATAGAGGGTCGAGATGGCGTTGACGACGAACACGTCCAGGACGGCCATCAACATCAACAGACGATCAAAAAATGAAGCAATAGGAATCGGAAAGTTTTGAAAGATTTGTTCTGCCTAAGAACAGTGATAGCACGACTGGTTCTAAAGTCACTAAATTTTTTTGAAAAACAGCGTTGCATTAACGTCTATGCAATGCTTTTCGACTACCAGAATGATGCGTTTTGTTATTGGCGATGAGTCTTGGATCTGTGTTGACGGCCCGGAAACAGACGATCAATCGGCCGAATGTCGTGACAAAGGCGAATCAAATCCGAAAAAAAACCGGCAAAGCAGGCCGAAAATCAATGTTATGTCGATAGTTTTCCTCGATTATCGAAGTGTGGTGCCCTTCAAAATCCAAGCTGTCAACAAGGAATACTACTAGAGTGTTAGGCATCGTTTGAGCGAATCTATTCGTAAAGAGAGGACGAAATTGTGCGGTGATAACTCTTGGTTTTTGCATTGAGTTTTTTGCCAAATTTTCAACAAAAATTGTGCTGCAACCACCATAAATACCTGATTGAGCTGCGGACCGCTTTGAGTCAATCGAAGACATTACACGTGAATTGCTACGCGCATTGAAGGCTATTCCGGAAATTTACTTTAACAACTGTTTTCAGGATTGGAAAATAAGTTGTCACAAGTAACCATGAGCGATTACTTTGGCGCGTCATCTTCCTCAAAATAATTGCAATATTTTGAAGAATGAATGAATTAAGAAAATTATGAACAAAGTCTTACTATTTTTTGTTCACAGTAGTACAAACAATTATAGGCCCACAAATATACGCACACCCTTATTGGATAAGGTAGATCTCTAAATTGTATAAAAGAGATGAAAATACTGAATTAAAATCACACAATCTTTTAATCCAGCAGCTGTGGAAAATAGGCGACTTTATCATTTTCATTTTAGTCAAGCTTTCTATTACTATCCTTCAAATATTTAATATAATTTCCGAGATTTCTTTACAAATAGTAACACAGTGCAGTTAATAGTAAAACGCTTAACATCTCTATTGTCTAAATTGACACCGAATTGCTTAAGCCAAACATCCTGAATAAATATGCTGTTCTTGGTTGTGTACGCCCATAAAGCCTATCCAACTTCCATTAAATGCTACTCCATTCGTCTATCTGTATAAAAGTAATTCGTGTGTCATCGTGCTACCTTTTCTGCGGCACTGTTTCTTCTTTAAGCTCTTTGCTTCTTAGAGCCCTAGTTTTGCATGTAAATATACATATGTGTCTGCTAGATGTCAAACAACATCTACTTATTCTTACCACACCAGATAGCAGTTTATTGCTCTTATGGGTTTGCTCTTTCAGGTATTTATTGCCTTACTTTTCCAAACCGCAAACATATCTATGAAAAAACGCAGTTGGTAGCCCCATTGTGCTGTGATTTTCATTGCCAAACCCACCGATTGTCTCATAGCCAGACACTTTGTAACTGAAATTCCCACAAGGAAATGCTTTTACAGCCTGCTGTGGACAGCTTGTCATCCAGCTGTATATCGTTTATGCGGTACACTCGTATCCTCACAGTTCTACGTAAATTTAGTCTGAGTTTTAATGATACTTTTCATGTTAATTTAAAAGACTTTTCTTATTTGAAGTTGATTTACTTTCATTTCCCTTGAAGACCACCTTAATATTATACTGTTGGCTATGTACGTAGTTTTGTCTACTAGTGTATACATACGTATAAATAAGTGTATATAAGTATGGTGTTACTTACCGGTCATGAATGATAGGCGTCGCATCGCTGGAAACGGATGATGGCCCGACGTATCCAATATATCCAGCTGATACACCTCATTGCGTATTCGATAAAGCTTTCGGTGGAAGTCTTCGATGGTCGGGGTGTAAGCGTCGTCATAGCGATTACCCAAAAAACGTGCCACAATCGATGATTTTCCCACACGTGACGAGCTGACAATAAATGGCAAATGAAAATTAGACACATTCGAAAGGAAGAACGCGAAAGCACGAAAATATAAAAGCGTCGAAGGAAACAATAAATTCAATTGTAACTTGAGTATGAATAAGAGTGTATTTCTAAATACATATGTATGTATACACATATATTTCGTTTTGAAGTAACTTTTGTAAATTAATTAATTAAGAGCGATAAGAAAACGAATGTGACTGTTCACTTTTCGTGACAAATGCCGCGAACAAAATTATTGAAGTACTACAAAATTGTACCATTAACACACAAATTTACACACATGAATCATAGTGTGTATATCGCACATATATATTTATGTAACTATGTACACACTTTCATTGTCCCATTGTCCTTTTAATGTTCAGTTCTGCATCGCACTCCTTTCTGCCTTTTTTCATGTAAGTATGCATGGACAAAGTACTAATTGTAGCTGGCGTGTGAAAAAGGCACGTGCGGCTGCAATGTATTAATACCGGTTTATACAGTGTTGTTTGAAAAAATAGAAACGCTACATACAGTGTTTTAAAACTTAATATTTTGTGACTGTGTGCTGGTTCAAGCATTTCTTTATAAATTATTGTTACTAAATGAAAAATATGTCCGAAGAAAAATAATTTAAAATAATAAGAAAAAGCTGAGTCGTTTAGTATATATGGCAGCTATAGTCTACAATGTTCCGATCTTATCAATTTCTTCGGATATTGGACCGTTGATTTGGACAATAATCCATGCCATGTGAAGATATCTCAACAAATAAAAAAAGTTTCCAAAGTGGGTTTGAGTTTGATCGTACAGTTTGGATGACTAGTGGATCAAAATCGGCGGTTCCGACAAGTCAGTCGTTTCTTGGAGAGAAATTGATGTGTGCAAAATTTCATACTGATATCTCAAACACAGTATACATAAATCGTGAATATACAGACTTAGTTGGTAATATTGATTTAGCTCATCAAGCTATGTTATAAACTTCGTGGTAAATTTAATATACCCTGTTGTGGGTATAAATATATTACACAGATCTGAGACAAGTTACCATTGGTCACCATGACTTTAGCTGAAATAAGACGGTTACTACGACGTCTCCAGCATTTTGCAAGAACTATGAAATTTGCCCAACTGTAAGTGGGTTGGTTCATTATGAAACAATTCACTATTTTATTTGGTGTTAATCCAATTTACAAAAAGTTCAGCTGAAATTAATTAATTTAGAATAGCGTTGAAGACTATGCTTATAGTACAATATATGCTGAAGACATACTTAGCAGATCATTTGAAAAGTCCATGGTCTGCCATAGCAAACACACACTTTTTTTTGGCAAATTTTAATTATAGCGAGATCTGAGAATAGAATTCCAATTCATATTCGTAAATGTTTGCCTTGTTTCCACTTATGACAGTGCACTTGGTGAAATAGCACTTTCCTTTTATTCAAATTCGGCAGTTTCGTCCTTCATTTGTTGCTTGGACTTCGGAAAGGAATGATGGAGCCACGTGTTTCGCATTGTCACATATTCAAGCAAAAAATCGGTTTTTTTTTTAAACTTCACTAAGCATTACTCCGAATCATCAACTTGTCATTGTTTTTGGTAGAAAGTGAGTTAGCGCATTGCTTAGATCTTTCTAATACCCAAATATTCGTAAATGAATAAGTTAATATCTTTAGAGTGTTCTTGAACAACTTCACTTTACGGTTATATAAAAATATTTTATGAATTTTTTTTGGGCGATAACTGCTAATAACTTGCTTCACCTAAAATGATATACAAGTAATTCACAAACTACAGATCCGACTGCTGTCAGATTTATAATCGCGTCTTTAGAAGGTTTACGGTCAACTAAAAATTATATGGATTTAATTCTGGTAGCCATCTATGTGTCAAGCCAATGACTTTTAAATTTAGTTGTTTTGCTATAATAACTCAAAACATACGACTGTATATGAAGTCATATATTGACGAGCTTAATGTAAATAGACAGAACATTTTGACCTTGAGAACGTTATTCCAATGAAAATTGTTGTGTTATACATTTTTATGCGATTTTAGAAAAATTGAAAAGATTATTTTGAAAAAGGTTAAAAAAACACTATTCCACCATAACAACCCATTACCAATCCTCGTCTTCTCCAAATCTTGTGATTTATTTTTGTTCATCAGTTTTTTAAATGGCTGTTAATAGCATCCACCAAATATATCAACCCAATATACATTAATTTTTCATTTCGGTGCCATTGCGTGATTGAATTGTTTATATTCGGAAAAAAATTTTTGGTGGTTCATGTTTGGATATTTATGATGATTGTCTTTTCAGATATATATATATATATTTCATTTTAAAATAAAGCACAATAAATGTAAGAGTTTAAAAATATATTGGTATGGACCGATGATGCATTGAGCAGACAAATCACAGCAAACAGCAACTTTTATAGGGACCAAGATCCAAGACAGTATAAAATATATTTTGTATTTTTCGTAGCATAAAGAACAACCGAATCTAATGCCTACGAAGGCAATTTGTTTACAAGCATAGATCGATGCCACCAATAAACGTGTCATATAACAGTTTTAAATAGGTTAGGTAAGATGGCTGAACCCTCAATATCACGGGGGGATCACACAGGTCATGTGGCTGGCATCAGGTAAGGTGTTCAATCTTATCGCTTGAACTGCTGAGAGCGAAGAGCTCCTTATAGCGCAGTGTAAACTTCCACCAATCCTCCCAAGAAGCTTTGATCCAGCCGTAAAAAAACCTCATCGCTCCTCTTCACCAGCGATTTCTTCCCTCCCATGTTTCCTTCGAAGGTATGTAAGCAGGTCAACGGAAACCAGGCTAGGCTGAGCGACCTTGTAACCCAATTATTTGGAATTAAGCTCGCAGTCGTCTAAGTATCGAGATTATCTGAGTCTGTTCTGTATATGGTTATCAGCCAATTGCACGAATGCGTGACAGTTCGTTGCAGAAGTGCTGATGTAATGCCATCAGCCACAGGAGATTATCAATAGCGAAACATTTAATAAAGTATAAAATCAATACTTTTAAGTTAATGTCTTCCAACATATGTGTATGAGGGGACTAAGTAAGGAAATAAAGGTCATGTGAGGAGAGGTATTAGATAACTTCCAAAAAATAAGAATTACTTTAAAAGATCTGCAAAATCTTCACTTACCCCAGCATAATGAGGCGATAGCAGTTTTTCGATGATGGCACACTATCATCACATAGCGATAAACCGATGCCAGTTCCATTAGCGAAATCCTCTACGGCTTCGATTACGTCCAAATTGCCATCAACCATGGGTGGATGCAACTCTGTGTGGCTGACCACACGACTACTAGTCGTAACCGCGCCATTGCTACCGCTTGCGCCGACATCATCCAGAAATGTAACCACATGCGATGTAGTCGTCGAGTGCATTGGTGTTGTTGTAGCCATAGATGGTGGAGGTGTTGTGGTTGCTGCGGTCATAAAACCACCACCATTACTGCTGCTCATGTCGCGCACGTGGTCACGTATTGTATCCGAAATGGAATTGGTTAGATTTTTGAGCGGGTCATTTACGGCCACTTCGGCATAGTCATTATTATTACTACGCGCGCAAAACCAATTTCGACATCGATCCATTTTGCCACCATCGGCAACATCAAACGCGCCCATCAACCGGCGTGTAGGCGCAGCGTGCAAACCGTTAACAATAATCGATATAGCGAATTCGAATTCGCGTAATATTCTAATGCCGCATTGCGGATATTGGTGTGTATTTTCGCAAATTCGCAACAATAAAAGAAAATTGAAAAAAATTTAAAAAGAAAACCAACAGCGAAATCACAATTGTTGCTAGTCGAAAGTAATCAAAATATACCGAAATTGATTAACGAAAAGCTGGAATATATAACATGTTAGCGCCCAATATGTATATAAGTACGAATGTGTGCAATATTGCGATTTTTCGTTTCTTTTTGGACCTTTATTTTTCGGGTTTTTACATTATCTGTTCGAGTATTATTCTTGGTTATTTTAATGGATTAATTCCCCTCATGCACGTATGTATGTATCAGAATATATTTCAATTTATTTTCAAAAGCTTCACTCCGTGTTTTAATTGAAAATTGGCAATATTTCATTTTGTTTTTTAGTTTGTGCATATTAGTTTATTTGATTGAAACTAGGAAATATACATCGTTCCGCTCTAACTCCTTCCGTTGAAAACCGGTGTTGCCGAATCTGCAATGAAAGTAGAATTTTGTGCGTTTATTACAAAAGTACACCTTTACCTTTTAGTTAGCAAAATCAATAATTAATAACAAGAAAAAACGTTTTAAATACAAAATAACTATTAAAAGAATTTGATTTTCAAAAAAGACACTACAAAAGCAGACCGACGTCATATTTTTCGTTCTTTTAACATTTCTCGTCAATACGATTTACTATTTCAGCATGGAAATATATACGATCCAACAATGAGCCGAAATTATTAAAATTTACTATTAAAATTCGGAGTCAGTGGGCGCAACTTTAAGAGCTCTATGTCAAATTAATTGTGGTCGTAGTCGTCCTGTCAGGTCATTAATTGAGCGTCTGGTGGAAAACTTTGAATCCATAGGCACAGTAAAAAATGACCATGTGCCAGTGAAGTAAAGAAGTGCATATACGCATAGTATCGAGAATATTACTGTGGCTAGCGCTTTAGTTGAGGAAGACCCAATCAGTCTTTCACTTGCCGTTCTCAAGCGTTGGGCATCTCTGTGATGTCGTCGCCGAAGCTAATACAACCTTAACAGACGCATTTTTCTTAGTAAATATGTGTTTAAGTAAATTCAAAGATGTGACCGGCCAGTGGTTTTCATTCAAAGGAAATCATTTTACTAGTTCTTTTTAGCCATGTTGTTTGCTAGAAACATTAAGGTTATTTAATAAAGACAATTGATCTTACGTTTGTATACCATTGTTACCGACCTGCAAAATTTCTTCAACTATTGTAGCGTTGCCTTCGAGAATAAACCTCGACGAATTTGCAGAATATATATCGTCAATTGAGAAAGTTTCCCACACAAGCCCTTGATTTCGATCGTTCGGTTTGTATGGCAGCTATATGCTATAGTAACCCGATCTGAGCAATTTTTTCGTAGATTACATTGTTGGCTTAGTGCCAACTTTGGTGAAGATACGTTGTCAAATGTGAAAGTTTTCAAAAAAAGGATTCGATTCGGAACGTTCAGTTTGTATGGCAGCTATATGTTATAGTGGTCCGATAGCGGCAGTTCCGACAAGTGAGCAGCTTCTTGAAGAGAAAATGACGTTTGAAAAATTTCAAAACGATATCTTGAAAACTGTGGAACTAGTTCGTATATATACAGACGGACATGGCTAAATCGATTCAGCCATCATACTGATCATTTAAATATATACTTTATAGGATCTCCGATGTTTCCTTCTGGGTGTTGCAAACTTGGTGGCAAACTTAATATACCCTGTTCAGGGTATAAAAATCATCTTCAACATTTCTGGCTCAGTGACTTCATCAATAAGCAAAATCAGCAGCAATCTACGGCGTCACTGAGCCATACTTCTTCCGTGATGATCAAGCGGTAGGCTCAATGATAATTGAATATTTTTGATACGAATTGGATGAAATGGACGTGGAAAATATGTGTTTACAACACGACATCTCGAGAACAACAACGGATTTTGGACTACCTTCACGGAAATCGTGTTGGATTGATGTATTCACCTTGAATATTGAACCTTGATGGAGCTTTATCGCCAAGAGTTGAATTAAGTTCATGCATGCACTCTAACTGAGTTAATCCACGTCGAAAGGTGGGGGAAAAAAATCGCGCAAAAATATTCGCAAATTTATACCACTTTTTGATGAGATGAATATTTTAAGTTACTGTGGATAACAGAAATATCGCTCTTATGCCCATACACAATATTTACGTAACTTAATCCACGCAACTATTATCCACGATTGGATTTTAATTACTTTTTAACCTTTTAGATTTATTCAATTTAGAATTTGTAATTGTTTTAATACCGTTAGCATAATTTCCTCTAACAAACTGCATGAAATGAACTGTGAGTTGTGAACTTATATAATTGCAAAAGCTTATGTGCATAATACATATATAATATATAGGATAATAGCCAACAATTTTCGCAGATGTTAGTGCCAGAACACAAGAGAATGTAAAAAGTTAATAAAGTACGGCATATGTGTGAACACTTGCAGCGCTGTGGGATTTTCACACACATCTGCACACTTAATTAACGTAAACTCTGCAATTTATTTCAAACTAAATTCGCAAATAAACGAACAAACGCGACCGCAATTTTTGTGAATTTTGTGCATAACAATGCGAAATAGCCACGTGGGTAAAACGGTCTTAGTTTTTGTCACTGAAATTGAATTGTTTAGTTATTCTCCATTATCCGTAGAAGTGGAATATACATATTTATTTGATTTCCTTTTAACTCTGCCAAACTTTTAGTGCCGTAAATTGTTCTACCAATAAACCGTCAATCACAAAAGTTTGCGATTTTGTAGGACTCGCTTATTTTTTTGCAATCATAAGTATCATTAAAATTGAAAAAAAAAACTCAATTATGTTTTATATGGTATGGTATTATAAGTCAATTATTTACAATTATTAATTAATTTCTTTTTAATTGTACTACTCATTCCCTCTATAAACTGTTATATATTTGTATTATATTTAAAACTGAATGCATATTGGCACTCATTGCAGCCAGAGCTTTTCAGTACTTTATTAAAACTCGATTGAAACCAACATTTAAGAGAGCTCCAACAAATATATCCACGGCATATGTAGAAGTTCAGGCGAGTGAGGAAAGTTCTCTGAGCGCCATTCACTTGGGAGTGGCCAGAAACGATTATTTTCCATATTTCTCAAGCAGCTCACCACTTTCGGTGTTATCAGGTATCCTCTGATCTCTCTCCTCTGAGCTAAAGTGAGAAAGCGAAATATTGCTCTCCACAGTTGTGCGCAGAGTTAAGGACCCGCCAAGTAAAATAACACTCCCTATGAAAAGAACAAAACTGTGTCGGATGAGAGACCTCTCTTTTGATGACGATCCCTGCAAACATGTTAAGGTTTACGATTTAAGGGCATGTACCTGGAATGTGTGGCCTCTGAATTGGAGAGGCGCTGCTGTCCAGCTAGTTGATGTTCTCGTTAAAGTGAAGAGTGACATCACCGACGTCCAAGAAATGCGATGGACGGGACAAGGACTGATGCGAGTAGGTCCTTGTGGCATTTACTACATTGGCCATATAAAGGAGCGCAATTTCGGTGTGGGACTCGTGGTGGGAGAGAGATTCAGTCGCAGAGTCTTGGCATTCCCCTCGGCGATTGAACATCTAGCCACAATCCGAAGCATAGCGAAGGTCTTCTGCATATCGCTGATTTGCACCGACGCCGCGACGAAAGAGGAGGACGATGTGACCAAAAATATCTTCTATGAGCAATTGGAGCGCACCGATTACAGCTCCCTCCGCCGCGATGTCAAAATTGTGCTTGGCGATTTTAACGCAAATGTGGCAAAGAAGGTACCTTTGATACAACGGTCGATGAATTCAGCTTCCATGATGAAACATTCACAAATGGGTTGAGGCTGATCGACTTTGCTGGGGCCCGAAATATGATAAGCTGTAGTACTAACATTGACTCGGGCCATTATCTTGTTGCAGCCATCGCCTCTGTGTAGCAAAAAACGCACGTCAACAAACACAAGGTAGGTTCGACGTCTAGAAGCTGAAAGGGAACTGTGGAACAGCATATCCAGCTATTTGCGAACAGCTGCAAACGAAACCATTGATTTACGATGAGGTGAGTGCCGTGTGGCAGTGGAGAGAAAGCATATCGTTGAAGAGGCACCTGAGACGCATTTGCAGACCAGAGAGAGGGTGAGTACGAAGAGTTTGACAAACGAGCCGATAAAAAAAAGTTCTCTATCAGCATAGAAATTTAACGCAGAATAACTCTTGCCTACTTGTGCTACTTCGGACTAGGTGGGCAATTAAGAAAAAAAAGTAAAATAACTTCAAGAAATTTTTAGTTATTGCCTAAGAAAGCGATCCATTATTCGAATAAATTGTTCAGTTCGAATCAAGAAAGCATTGATCTGCCAGATAAACTTTTTGTAAGCAATCTTCGTATTTGTGATGGGTATAATAGCTTTGGTTCAACTAAATTTAAGATGTTTCCTCGTTTTTCTTTGTTTATTATCGGTTTACAAAAAAAAAAGCAATATAATAATCAGCGTTTAAGTGCGAAACTTTCTTTAATAAATCTCTTAGTTATGACCACAAGAATTTAATCCAATCGAAATTTTGAAATTGATGCTCATAAATATTAGCCGAGCATTAAATTAGTACAGTCAATTGACCAATGAACCAGAAGACGCTAATATAAATAAAATATTTTAATGAAGCAAGCTAAGCAGTACGAGTTAATGGAGAAAACATTTGCTGAAAAAATTAAAAGAAATAGATAAGGGTGGCCGCAATGTAGACATGGCGTCCTTATATATGGCTTTTCGTCAAAGTAAATACCAGCGGATTTATAAAGGTTACGTCGTCAAGTGTTTAGTATTAATTATATACGAAACAGTAACGATTGATGCAATTAAATATGGCTGCGGCCGTCTGTTGGCGCCATTAATCTCCGACGCTCGGTTGGCAATGCTTAGTTGGTTGCATGCTGCTCTTAATGGTTTGCTGTAATTGCAATTTATGTTGCCGCTACTGTGCTGTCTTTGATTAATGAAGTAAAGAACGCCCAAGTTACAGCCGTTAACAAGGTTGCCTCTACTGTTCATGCCAAAGTACTTTTCATTGCTGTTGATCTGCTAACAAGTGCCGCTAAGTGCAAGTTCCAAGTTCCTGCAGCGAAAGGGTGAAATAGAGCAGATAAATTGAATTAAGTGCTGAAATTGACCAAAACAAAGATTAATACGGGAAGCTGGCAAGTTTGAAGTATTTTGCTTAAATATCGTAGCGCTTCAGTGATCCACTAGGTTTGTACTAGTGAGTGCAGTGTAGTGGCAAGATAAAGCTGAGGTGCTTTCCTGCTTGAATAACTGTTAGTTAAAACTAATTTTAAGAGTGAAACGTTATTTTTCTGCTAATAGCCATTTAGTACAACAACTGCGAGCTGTCTAACACTGG